AAGCATTATGATATTCCAATTCCAGTAAGTTTGTGTGTCTTCCTCATAGACTGAGCACCTTGGGGACAGTCATTAATTTTTGTGTCTTCAGCACAGCATAGTATATATGCTTTAAATTCAGTGTATGCTTCTTGAATTATTTGCTAAGTAGTGGCCTTTCAGTGCATGTTTCCTTATCATCAGACCTCATGTTACATTTCTATTGGGATTCTACAATGGCTGTGTGTTGGGGATCCTCAAGACTGTACCCCTCGGTTTGAGGATTCACTAGGAGGATTCATGGGCTCAGCATAGTCACACTCATGGCTTTGGTTTATTACAGCAAAAGTACAAAGTGAAATTGGCAAAGGGAAGAGATAAGAAGGTGCATGGGAGGAAGTCTGGAGGAAACCAGGTGCAGGAGTCCAAGAGGCCTCTTCTGGTGGAGTCACATCTCGTGTGTGAAATTTTGTCTACCAGAAAAACGCACTGGAGATTTGAGGGCTGGTCATGGATATGCACGCTCAACCTGGCATTAAAATTTCAGCCTTCCAAAAGGAAAGCAGGTGTTTAACATAGGCTACACTGCACAGTTGAAGCACAGCTAGCCACTGGTATCAGGAACGGGGGGAACCCCCCTCGAGAACCAGGTTCACCCGTGCTAGCCAGGGACCACCCCAGCAAGCAGGCCTTTCTAAGGATAGCAGTCCAAGCCTTATGGACTCTCCTCTGCATGAAATGGAACTGGAGTTTAAGGCATTTTACTCAGATGCAAGATAGAACTTGAGGTTATTTTCCATTTTTTAATTATTCAGCGGGATGGCTTCAGAACATGGTCACGTTCACGTCCGTTTGCGTCCCATCCCTGCAGAGCACACAGATACTGGGTATATCACACAGGCTGGTGTGTCCCGCACCGTGTCATCTTCTGTCTTTAGGGGCGGGAGCACTTACACAGAATACACCATGGGCCGAATGTTACACTTAGCATTTGCCAGCTTATTTTTCTGGGTGTGAATGTCACTTCTTTGTGAAGATCCAGCTTTATTAAATCAGTGTGTCTTAACGTATGTCCACCACTAGTAACTTACTTTGGAACCTTTATACAAGATTCTACAAAACGGGAATATGTTTTAAGTTAAGAGAATTTGCACTTTATTTAAGACGATGAGTAATCTAAAGTTGCTTCGTTACAATTTAAGGTTCTTGATAGAGAAGTTGAGATCGTGAGTGACCTGCTAGAGCTTCAGGTCAGGAAGTCAGCCACGTTGCTTCCCCAGACCCTCAGGGTGGCTCCTGGTCAGCTCGTGGGTGAGCAGTGGCCCCTCGGGAACACCTGCCGCCTCAGCAGCCGGAATTTGGAGAGTTCTTTCTTGGAGATGATTACACAGATTTTCTAACCTCTTCTCCTGGCTCGCCAGCTGAGACATCTTTAATTTACTAAAAGACACTTGAACTTGAGCTGCTGTGGTAGGAGTTGAGAAGAAGGGAGAAACCTCCCTCTGTTTTCAACAGAACTTAAACCTTCTACTGTTTCCAGTGCAGTGCATTTAAGGGGCCTTATTCACAAGTGTTATGTTCTTGGAAACAAATGATACGAATCTCACCTCTCCCCACACTCGATTCTGTCTTGATCAATTCTGTTACAAGGTTTTTAGAGGAGGCTTGCTTTCCTTCCAGCCGACTTTAGAACTTAGGCTTTTCCCTTCTAACTGAGCTGTGGAAAGTGGCAGAGAACACCAGTGTGTCCCAGTGTGGTCGAGTTCCTGTATCTAAGGGTGGCGCTGGCATGTCAGCCTCATGTTGCGGTTTGCCTGAGGAGACCACACACACTTCACGAAAGCAAACGTTGCCACCTTCATTTGCAGCTGGGCAGTACAGGCGGTCCTCGCGTCACTAACGAGTCCGTTCCTAAGTGTGTCTTTAAGTTGAATTTGGAGGTGAGTTGGACAGGTACACATGGTTCTCGTTCAGCTCGACTTCAGTGCAGGAGAAGGCTCGAACCCTTGTCAGTGATGTGAGCTGTGTGTGCAGCGAGTGGAAGGGCTTGTGATGAGCTGGTTGTGAGTACCTTCATAGGGAGGGCAAAGGTCCATGGCCTTAAAGGGCAAGTGCGAGCTGCCTATGAGGCTGTGCTGCCAACCCCAGGGCCTGACTGGTGAGCTCATTGGAGCTTTAAATAGTTGCTGGCTCTGGAAAGAAGGACAGGCGGGATTTAGGGGAAAGGCCAAAACCCGTCACTGTTTGCTCCAGGCACTCTGCGGCTCACGTCGCCCTCAGGGCTGCTGGCAGTCCAGTGTGTGCCCTGTATGTGACCAGAGACTCACGCTGGGGGGTGACAGCCTTCCCGCAGCTGAAACGCCGGTCTCGCACGTAATATCCACCTTTATGGGCAGGGAGTGAGGCAAGGGAGGTAAGGCAGTTTCAGCTTAGCCTAGAGGACAGAGTGAAATGGAGAAGTGTGGCACTCAATATAGGAAATTAAGCTAGGAGGTGGTTGTAAAGAATTTAGAGGCCGCCTCTGGTGAGAATTAAGTGTAAGAATGTTACTCAGGATAGTCTCAAAGAGCCCTTCCCGCGAGAACGCTTCCTCACTCGGCTGCTGCACCTTTGTAATGACCTTGGACAGGAGGCAGAGTCCTGCTTTATAGACAAAGATAAACCCAAAACCAAACCCATGGCCACCGAGTGGGTTCTGCTTCAGCACCGCCCTATAGGACAGACTGGAATGACCCCACAGGGTTTCCCAAGGCCGTCAATCTTTACAGACACCTCTTCTGTATCCCACAGAGAGGCTGGTGAGTTTGAAACATCCACCTTTTGGTTAGCAGCCAAGTGGTCTAACCAGTGTACCACCAGGGCTCCTTAGAGATAAGAAAAGGCCCAGAGAAATGAAATGGTTTGCCTGGGTCACTTAGCTAACCAGTGGTAGAACCAAGACACTCCAACCCAGGTCTTGGAGGTTTCTGTACGTCACAACTCAAGTGAAGTGACAGTGGTAGCTCTGGGCTCTAGACGGCGGTGGAGAAAGGAGCCCCTCTCTGAATCCCCATGTTGTCAAAGTGCTCTTCCCTCACGCGACCGTCCGTTTCACTTAGGCTGTGTCTGGTAAAGTACCACTGTGTCCTCTAGCATCATGGTGGAGAATCAGTGATATATAGTAAAATAATACTAGCATTCTTTAAAAACTGGTAATTGGTTAATGAAATGTTTTTGTGAGTATACCATTTGCTGGATATTGTGACAGTAAGCAAAGGTATATCTGTTTCTTGAAAGAATCATTGCTTACTATAATAAACTTACTATAATAAGTGTAATTTGGCTTAAGTTTTGCTTTAGTGATCTCTGAGTAGGTAATATTTAAATTAATTACCCAAACTAGTTTTCACTAAGTATATTTCCCTCCTTGTTTACAAAAGTGGAGGAGCTCTGGTGGTGTAGTGGTTAGGGCATTGGCTACTGACCAGAGGTCCCTGGTTCAGAAGCCACCAGCTGCTCCGTGGAAGAAAGATGAGGCAGTCTGCTTTCTTAAAGATTTACAGCCTTGGAAACCCAGTGGGGGTTGCCATGAGTCTTCCGCAAGTCGACGGCAGTGAGTTTGGTTTGGTACTGAAGGTGCGTGATTTAGATGTAAGAGACTCTGGCTGTCCCAGCCCCTGCCAGCCCTGCCCCCACAGATGGAAGGGTCTATGTACACAGGGGACAGTGGGGACTTAAAGGAGGTAGTAACTGGTTTAACTGGGCTGGAGGGAGGAGAGTCGGGGAAAGAGTCTTCCTAGAGCACCTGAGTATTAACTTGGCTCTTGACAACCGTGTGAGCGTTTGCCAAGCAGGAGCCAGGTGTGGGAGATACTCTGGGCAGAGGTGAAAAGAGGAACCAGCCTGGTGGTTTTGCTTGTACCTGAAGCGGCTGGTGCTGGGGGGATAGGTGGTGGGCATCGGGGATGCCCAGGGTTGCTGTGTGGTGACTTAGCTGTTGACTCTTGGTACACACCGATTCAGACAGCGATAGATAGCTGCAGTTAACCAGACAAGGAATGGGCTCAACATTGCTCTTCAGGAGTGGCCCTGGACAATGACTTTATTGTGAAGAGCAGATGAGATAATTGTGTAATTGTGAACCATAAAGTAGAATACACACATTTATTGTTAAACTAAGACTAATGGGTATATTTAATTGTGTTTCAGAAGGTGAGTGTGGCGGTGAAGGGAACTAGTATTTTGGTTCCAGGTGACCTCAGAATAGGAATAGAAGTAGGAGCTCTGTCCTTCATGTGAAATACTCTATTTCTTACACTGAATGGCTCTGTTATCACACAAATCAGCTAGTATAATCTAAGTAAATGGAGTGTTGATGACTTAATTTCTTTATTGCAGGCAGTTGTTTGATAGCGTAAAAGTCCTGTCTGTCCCTCAGGAGGTGTTCTCTGGTCTGTCTCCAGTCTTGGGTGTTGCTGATCAGGTGCCCTGAGACACTGCAGTGACTACCTGCTCCTTGAGTTGCTAAACGTCTCAGTGGTCAGACTCATGCCCCCACTTTTCCTCTCCTCTCTGAGGTTTATCGTTCATAAGGTTTTAACACGAGAGCAGAAGGGCCGCCTTGTTTCTCAGAAGTCCACTGGAAGATTGAGTGATGTGTCCTCCCCCGGAAGGGATGGAACCGAAAGTTCACAGACAGGGCAGGCCTGGGGAGAAGGCAGTGTCTTCCTGTAACGCTGCTGAGGCGTCTCCTCGTGTGGTATATACGGTGCTGCCTGGTTGTCATCTAAGACGTAGACGTGATGGCTCTTTCTTGGAACGGGTCCGTAAGCGCGCGTCCTCGTAGGGAAGCAGAGGCCCGCAGCACTGGTCTCCTTCGGTGTTGCTCCCTTCACCTCGACCCCCATCCTGCACACCCGCACGGCATAACTTCACCATCTGTCTGTCTGTCTCATGGACTGAAGGTCTGTCTGTGTTTCCCTGGTGTTCAGGAGAACTCTTGGCCCAGCTGACATCACTTTTCTTTTCTTCATTCTTAACAGGTGACAGAACTGAATGAGCCGCTGTCCAACGAAGAGAGGAACCTCCTTTCTGTGGCGTACAAGAATGTCGTGGGGGCGCGCCGTTCCTCCTGGAGGGTCATCAGTAGCATTGAGCAGAAGACGTCTGCCGACGGCAACGAGAAGAAGATCGAGATGGTCCGTGCTTACCGCGAGAAGATAGAGAAGGAGCTGGAGGCGGTGTGTCAGGACGTGCTGGGCCTGCTGGACAACTACCTGATCAAGAACTGCAGCGAGACCCAGTACGAGAGCAAGGTGTTCTACCTGAAGATGAAGGGGGACTACTACCGCTACCTGGCTGAGGTGGCCACAGGGGAGAAGCGGGCCGCCGTGGTGGAGTCCTCCGAGAAGGCCTACAGCGAAGCCCACGAGATCAGCAAGGAGCACATGCAGCCCACGCACCCCATCCGACTGGGCCTGGCTCTCAATTACTCCGTTTTCTACTACGAGATCCAGAACGCCCCTGAGCAGGCGTGCCACTTGGCCAAGACGGCTTTCGACGACGCCATCGCGGAGCTCGACACGCTCAACGAGGACTCCTACAAGGACTCCACTCTCATCATGCAGCTCCTCCGTGACAACCTCACGCTCTGGACGAGCGACCAGCAAGATGACGATGGTGGAGAAGGTGGCAATTAAGGGCCGGCGGACTGGCGGCGCACGCTGATGCTACTACTGCAGTCTTTATTTTTTCCCATGAGCTGGGGGTCGGGTAGGGGAGGGAAAGGGAGGGATGACCTTCCTAGGGAGGAAACCCACGACATGTCCTGTCTCTGATCGCCTCTTTGACATTTTTGCCAAAATACCACTAGGGGAAAGTCAGGCTAGCTGTGCTGAGGGAATCGCGGCCTCACGCTGGCGTACGGACTGTTCTGTAGACGAATGCAAGGGGAGCTGTCTGTCTTTAGATTAACTTATTGCTAGATACTAGGGTTTTAAGATGAAAACGTAAACGGAATGGCCCTCGTTCAATGAGTTCTGTGGTTCCAGTAAGGATTTTTATGTACATACGCTCCTGTCTTCAGTTGTGGGAACTTGCTAGCTCATCTGTTTTAGCTGTGTGTTTTTTTCAGGGTGTAGACTCTACCAGACGTGGAATCGTTTAAACCCCAAACTGACAGACTTAGAACATAAGGTACATTCATCCTTATGGTTTAGGCCTTGCCGGTTTTCTGAAGTCTGATTAGTTGACAGTATTAACACTAAATTGCAGTTTACAGTATTTGTACATTACAGCCATATCTAACATTAAGCCATTGATTGTGTTTTTCTTTGCGAGTTATTTTGGCTTTCCATCCCTTCCCCAGGTTGATTTTGCTGTTACCTGTCTTCTAGGCCCAAAGGCTTGCCTGAGGAGAATCGAAGCTACTTTAGGTTTTGGCTAACCGGTGCTTGGCAAGGGGCTGTGGGGTTTCTGTCCTCCTTTCCTCTTCACTTAAATCCACCACAACAGTTCCTATTAATCACTTTAATAGAGATGTTTAAACACCACAAAAACAGAAAATTCAGGTCTGTATGTCATTTCTTGTGTTGGTATTCTCAGAGACGACTCCGACTTTTCAGACGCCATGCAGCTCCTGCACGGGCATCATGTTGCCTTTGCGCTTCCCACGGGGTCCTTTCTCGCTGCACCTTTTGCGGCTGGTGGCGAAGCTGTTGGGTCAGAAGTCTGGTGGTCGTTCCGAGAACGTTTGTGGTGCAGTGTGTGAAACTTCTGGTGTCAGAAGTGCATGGTGGAAAAGTCCAGAAGGAGGAGTTAGATCCATAAACATGCTGTCAAATTTAGGGGCCTGGTAAGTGTGTCAGATTTTCCTCCCTTGAAAACACTCTTTCCCCAAGTAATTGTTGCAGGAAGATACATTAAAATCATTATTGGCCAATAAACATGTACTCCTATTTGACCAAAACTGTTCCTTTTTTTTTTTTTTTTTTTTTTTGTCATTTAAAGCCAGCATAGGTGTTTAGAGGTTCACTTCTCTTGTGCGTGTCTGGGATTGAAGGAAACTTGCATCAGTATTTCACCAAGTTTGTGTTCAATTAGCCTTAGGTCCCTTCTTCTCGTTTGGATAAATCTGTTCATCTGTCTATAAACATGACCTGTTGTGTGTGTTTTGTTTTCTTTTCTTACTAAATGAGTAACGGTGTGACCTCTCCCCAGATGCATAGTGGCACCAGCCTTGCTTTGTTGGTTGCTTTAGGCAAGGACAGGTTTGCTGATAACTGAGGAAGAACCCACAGAGGCTTCTGCTGTCCCAGAGCTGAGCTGACAGTGAGGAACCGGGTATGTTGGACCAGGACCCAGGTGACGGTGAAGAGAGAAGAATGACGATGCCTGTGTACGTGGAGTCGCTTCGCTCCGTAATCTTGCACAGTTCACCCAGCGTGACTTTCCTTAGGCCCTTCTGTGTGCGCCGGAGCGGAAATCCAGTTACCGGAACCTTGCAGAAGATCTAACGGGAGCAAGCTTGGCCGCTTTCGTGCTGATACAGAAGCCAAAGTACATGCCGTGGATGGGAAAGATAGGGGGCCGGGGGGGCTTTCTCTAATTTATCTCCATGTCCAGTGAGCAGTGTTGTGTCCTTCACATAGCATTTGGAAATGATTTACTGGAATTACAAAACCTGTATATTTTTTTCTTAAATTTCAGCTCTGGCTCTGGCTGCTTTTTAGAATCATGCAAGATTAAAATCATGCCCGAGGGCTAAAAACAGAAGGACGGAGGACTCGATCTTAAGCAGCTTGAACGGTTTCGTTTCTTTTCTTTATTCTTAAAGAAATGCACTTGCCTCTGATCCTGTCTCTGCAGTGAAATGATTACGCCTCCGTTCCTCTAGCGATGCGGTATCGTGCATGCTCGTGTTGTACTCTATACAGTAGCTTGACCTTTATTAACTTATCCTGTAGGTGTTATGTATTCCTATGGCAAACAACTAAGTCTTCAGATTTTTTTTAATCTTCCCCTTCCCAGGTCCTAGTTTTCAGCATTTTTTCTTTTCCCTGTGCCTGGTTTTTTTTTTTTTTTTTTTTTAATTTAAGTTTTCCTTTCAGGGGTAAAGTTTGCTCTACCAAATAGTGATCGTAACAATTGATCTGTTTTGGATGTTGCTATAGTGACATGCAGTTATATATTTTGATTTTAAAAAGGGGGGAAAAATGCAAAAGAAACACCAGTGTTAGCGTAATCTTAATGTCTGGTGTTTGTCATGGTGAAATTACAACTCTTGCCGTGTAGGAGAACAGTGAGCGTGTTCTCTGAACGAGCCTTTGTGCTTCTTGTCATGTTATGCAGTGAACTCTTTTTAAGGTCTAATCAGTGATTATTTTCCCAATTCCGTGTTTCTCTAAGGAATTATTTCGCACACGGACCATTCTTAGCCGTTTTCCTCAGTGATGGAATATCATGAATGTGAGTCATTGTGTAGCTGTCATACATTGAGCAAATAAACTTACAGATCTGATGTCAGTGCTACTTAGTTTCATTCACTGAGTTTCTTTTTTCTTGGCCTCGAAGGTGTGATTAGACACGGACTGGTGTTCTAGCCTCCTCCCCTACTCAAGTTACGATGCTGAATTGTGGGAAAGGGGGCAAGACCGTACATACTGGAGAGCCCCTGTATCTGGGAATCAGATGTGGGTTTGCTGACCTTGAAAACGCGCCACCCCTTCGGGGCCTTGTGTTCCTCTTAGGAAAAAGGCATATGGGGCTGGATCTCTGAGAGCCGGTCTGTGGTCCACTTGGTGACAAGCACAGACAGCGTGAATGGCACTGCTTTGGACCCTTGGGTCAACTCCTGAAGTTCTGCGCCTCAGAGCTGTGGGTTTACATAAGAACTGGGTCGTGTGCCAGGTTCGTATCTATTAGGTGCCCAGTACTGTTGGTGATTCTGCTAAGTCTTGGAGGGGATGGTTCTTTGTACTTAAAAACATTCGCAAGTAAATGATCTTGGGTTTTTCAGCCCTCCGGAAGTGGCCCCCAGGCCTTGGTTGGTGTGGGCTCAGCTCTCAACAGCGTGCTCTAGTTGACTGCAGTTTTGAGACTGGGAACCACAGAGTGACTGACATCCTGGGTGGGGGTGGTCCATCCACTTGGGCATGCTTCTGGCAAAGGGCCCCGGAGCCTTGGTTCACACAGTGGGGGAAAACAGTTGTTGAGAAATTTGAATTCACGTTTCGGGAATAAGACTGTGTGAGTAGGTTTTATTTGCCATGTACTGAATACATCCCTTTCAGTTAGCTCGTTAGCCACCCAGCCATCCTGGGAGTACCACTGGCCTGGCAGGGTCAGATGGGGAAACAAGTGTCTGTGCCTGGTCACGTAACTCACTGATACCCCAAAGGGTGACTCAGTCTGCCTGCCTCTTGAGCTCTATCTGCTAACACCGCTGTTGCGTGCAGCTAGGAGACCAGCCATTCACTGTGCATGGACTGAGCCCATTCAGTGGGCGGGGTCTCCAGGACAGAGAGGGGAGTCAGACACTGTGTGCCAATAAGGAGATACAGCTGTGAACAAGATCAGACCCAGGAAGCGCTGACGCGGGCCCATCAAGTCTCAGAAGGAAGAGTTCCTGCGAGGTGCGACTCCTGGGCCCTGTTCCTTGGGTGTGACTTCCCGTTTCTGAGTGCCTGGGATTTGATGAGAAGGAGTTCCACAGAGCCTTGAGTTTCTCTTGAGACAAAAACGTTGCTGAAAGTCTACCCAGTTGAGATTGCCTTAATGCAGCAGTTTTCAGCTTTCCCATCTCATTTCTTTGCGTAACTCTTAAGGTCTTTTGTTTATGTGGGGTTTATCTGCCAAAAACCTGAAAGATCATTTCCTTGAAATAATAAAATCCATTACACGATAATATTTTTTAAGAAAAATAACTTCCAAAACAAATAAGAGTGATACGCATTGTTGTGCAATTTTGTGGATCTCTCTTGCTCTCTGGTTCAGTGGATGTCAGCTGAATCCCCGTAGCTGTTTCTGCATTCGCCGTGGTGCCATGTTGGAAGGAAATCGGGCATCACGCAGATAACCCACTGCCTTCAAACTGATTCCAAGTCATAGCAACCCTATGTAGAGGGCAAAGCCGAACTGCCCAGTGGCGTTTCCAAGGCTAGATCTTTAGGGAAGCCAACTGCCACATCCCTCTCCTGCGGAGCACCTGGTGGGTTCAAACCGCCGACCCTGTGGTTAGCAGCTGAATGCCTTAGACACTGCACCATCAGAGCTGCTGTTTCACACTGCTAGGTAGTTGATGAAGAAGGGCCCAAAAGAGTAGGTACCGTGATTCAACAATTGAATGGGTGCTCGGGTTAGGTCCCACCGACAGTTCCTCCTGTACACACCGTGGTCGTATGCTGTCGAGGTGTTTGACAGCGACTTTACATGACGGGCAGCACTGCCCCGTAGGCTTCATAGGCTGTAATTATGGAGCAGACTGCCAGGTCTTTTCTCTTGTGGAGCTGCTGGCTGGGGTTGAAGGTGTTTGCTTCACAGCTGAGCGCTTCACCCTTGCACCAGCAGAGCGCCCAACATGAAGCAATTAAAGAAATGGGAGTGATCGTAATACAGAGTTTGCCATTCTAAGAACTTGGGGTGTGGGGTGGAGGCATCACCGAATGAGGTGAGTTAGTGCCAGGGGCTTTTTTTTTTTTTT